TAACAAATCAGTGATTGTAATCAGAACTGCAACAAATACATAATATACAAAACAAATCAGTGTTTAATACAGTCCACAGCTACAAGGGTTAAAAATAACCCAACAACCTGAATTATCGAAGGAGAGTTTCAATAAATTTCATAATTCGTGGCGGTAACATTTGTAATTAGCAAAAAAGTGTAAAATATTTCGTCCACGTTTTAGCTCACAATCTTGAACCGATTATAATATTATTTGTATAGATATTATGAATTTAAAAAAAAAAAACAAATATTTAGTCAATTATTTGTGTCACCAGCACATTGTTTATTCAATTTAAAAATATCAACACATAATTCATTTTACATGATGAAAAAATTGAGGATGTTTAAAAATTGAATGATTATTTCATCTCTATGGTTTGACTTATTACGTGTTGCATTTCCTTTTCAATTTGAACTATGGTAGAGAGAATTGAAGTGATTACATCGAATTAAAATGATTTCGATTTTAAAAGGGCAACACTATTAAATAGAAAGCTAGCATTTCCTGTTTTAGTCCACCATTGTATCATATGCGAGTCTATAACAGAGCGTAATTACTATGCTGCTTTTTGTCCTGTACCTACAATTCAGATGCGGTTAGTCACAATTTTATAGTTCAGCCTGAATAAAGCACCGACAATATGATCGGAATATCAGTCTTGGCATAAAATATTATAAAACCTGATTGATGTAATATTTTAATGATAATATCTACAAAATTTGATCCTTATCTGGTACGAACAAAATGTATAAATACAGTATTTTGTGCTAAAATCCGGTTGTTTTATACTGTACACAGCATCTTCCTAAGTTGTTATTTATGATGAGATCTTGCAAACTATGAGAATGCTTGAGAAAGGAACGTGTGAGCAACTATAGTGATTAAATGCAACTCATTTGTTATTATGTCTTCAACATATTATGTCTTTTCATCGTGGCAATGATCTTCGAACTTGTGCTTCTTCTGATGTGTGAGAAAGTTTGATTTGAATAACTATGTTATATTAGTCCAGGATTTAAATATTTAAAGAAAAACAAATCAGCAATAAAATGTAATCGATGGCTTTTATAAAGCATATCATTGGAAAAAATTTACCGTCACTTCTAAACACTACTATTTTTAATGCCGACTGCATAATTTTAAAATTAACTCTGATTAATCAAAGAATATTATTAATATTGATGATATTAATGAATTAATATCGAGGTAATTTATAATCCATTTCCGATCACGATAGTAATGCATTTTAAAATCATTACCCATGTACATTAATATAATCATGATCCATTACACTCTTAGGCTTCATATCGAAGCTCTCAACAATCCGGTTATTTTAAAGCTGTCACCATCTAACATTTAACCCAGGATTGTTTTTGAGAAGTGAATGTATATTTGACATTTAATTATATTTAAAATTATGGTGTATAATTTTCTATAAGTTACATTGGCATAGTCAAAATGTGTCGTTTGCAAATACTAGGCACTCCTTTGAGTTCAACCTGTAAGCTCATGATTAATAGTTGTAAGTAGATACATTATAAATCAAAATAGAAATATCATTTAACATACGAGAATTCATTTTCTTCCCATATACATTTCTGCACATTTCATTTTTTGAATCATTGTTTAAAGTTAAACGCCATTAAACTATTTAGGGAATGATTAAAAAAATTACTGTTATAAGCATATTCATGAAAATGAATACAATTTATTTGCTACAATTTTAGATTTCATGAATGGTTTTGTATAAATGGATTGATTTATTAAATTTTCTTTTCTATTAAATATCTATTTCCTAAAATTCTCATTTTTCTAAATTCTTTCAACTGTTCTCAATACCAAGATACCGTTGCATTGTCACATAGAATATGTTCTCAACGGTGTACAATGTTTGAGACATGAAATTTATGCGAAATGTATTCAAATCAAACAATTTAAATGAAATAAATTATAATAAACGTCTAAATATATCACTTGATTATTCAAATCATCTATAATCAAATATTTTTATTAGCTCAGACTATCAAAAGTAAATCATGTACTATTTATAGAACAAATTTCTACATATGAAGAAGATATTGAGATCTATTGAAACTATGTTTATAGAAAATATTAGAATTTATCTTATTCTTGGCAATGTAAATTCTAAGATGAGTTGAGCTGAGGAAAATAACCTAAAGTTTCTTGGTTTAATATGAACGTGATGTTTGTATATGATACGATATCGTGACTTCATAAATATGCAAGATGTGTCTCACATTTTTTCTCCTTGACACTGAAAAGACATGTATTTTGAAGCTATTGTTAGATTTTAGCGTTACGTAGGTAATTTTGGAATACATATTTGGAAAATCAAATTATATAATATTAATTTGCAATATAACTGAGCTTTCCTATTATCGTCTATATATTAATTATAGAATAAATGCACAAATAGAATAATAGCAAAAATAATGTTTGAAATTTTCCTGAATTATTAGGTGGTTATAACACTAATTATTCTGTTTACTTAGTATATAATATAATCATCAGTACTTCTCAACAATTTAATAGGTTATAGAAAATAGTATGTGAAAGCCATGAAGACGAATAGTTCATTAGATTAATATAATCTAATATAGGCACCAGAATAAGATGGTACTTAAAATCAAATTAAAGGGCTATGTGGCAAGAATCGATTACTCTAAAATACACGATAAAAACATAAGTTCTAATAAATATTTTTTGCAAATGGGCAATTAAACCTAGATGTTTGTTTAACTTTGCGCAATACACCATGTTTTTCCAAATATTTGACGCAAGGTATTTCATCATTTATTGCAAAGATATTTAAATAAAAACACTGATAACAACATTATCATAAGATCATAAATTATTTGTTGTTATGTATTAACGTGCATAAATATGCTATTTTATATCGATAATTAGTGTCAAGTCTAATTTTAGCATAAACGTTAGCGATGTTTATAAAACACATTGTTCTAATCTAAATTTAGAATAGTGATAAGGATTTTGCCAATATTTGCTAATTGCGGCGCTGAGTGCTGAAATACTTCCATAGTGGAACTCGGCGATATCACATCGCATGACTTGAGTGGCTTCTGGAAAAATTATTTTAGTGTTCTAGCTATTTTTATAATATAATTTAGTGTTGTTTAAAAAATATTACCTAAAAGTTTGGTGATTGTTTTATGTTCAGTTAATCTGTGATAAATTTAAATGCTATTGGAAAGTATTCTACTGGTACGTGAGAACGCGAGAAAGTTTAAACACTCATCCTGATTATGAACTATGCTAATAGAAAGGAATTAAAATTAATTTATAATATTTTGTCTGTGACATATTAAAATATCAAACATGAAAATATTAAGTTTTATTTATGAGCCTCCACGTAGTTTTGTACTTGAATTTGAATACATATATATATTGATATAATGATATAATTTTCACTCATCCAACAATGGCATAAAAATTATATGCATATTATATTATGGGCGTTAATATTACTAAATAATTACTTAATTGAATTTTAGAGAAAAAATCAAGTTTTGCGTGAGTTGCAATTAGAGCTTTCATGATTAATATTGATACTTGCCTTTACTCAACTTAAATTTCTCAATTAATTCAAAAGGTGATACATATTCAAAGAATGCTTTACAACCTACATATATATAAAATAATTCGGGTTGTTCTTCCTAACGATATAACTCCAGAACGCACGAACCGATTTCAAAAATTTTGCATTCGTTGGAAAGGTCTCGGACTCCGCAAGGTTTATAGCTAAGAAAATTAGTTGTGCATGGCATCGTGCCTTAATGCAAATTGCTGGAACTTCACGCACCGTAATTAAAAATTCAAGTAATGACATTAGTGAGAATTATCAGAATTATGCTTGGTTAAGTCAACGAGCAATTCTTGCCGCAAAGAATAATGATGTACACGCACTGAATTTCACCATTCAATCAAAAATTGCTGGCGATTTGGTGACATACCAATGATTCCGACTGGTATTCCGTTTGACTTCAAACGATTGCAATTTCCAGTTCGCATTGCGTTCGCAATGACAATTAACAAGTCGCAAGGCCAATCGCTTAGTGTTTGCGGGATAAATTTCAAATAGATTATTTAGAAAATCATTGTTTTTCACATGGGCAGTTATACGTTGCCTGTTCTCGAGTTGGGAAACCATCCGCTTTGTTTGTGTTAACGTCAGACCAAAAAACAAAAAATGTGGTTTACCAAAGAACACTTCAATGAAACGGATAATTTGCGGTTTCACTTTTATTTACTTAGAGAAGTTCAACTAAAAAACACTTCATTTTTGTAATCGAAATAAATTCATTACTGTTGTATAATAAAATCAAATTTTTCCTTTTCAAATATAAAACAACATAAATTTCTTCATCTTTCTCTCGAAACCATCTGCTGGCGAAACGGAGTTCGTCGGGTTTGCTAGTTATTTATTAAATAATCCTTAATCGACACAAAATTAACGAAAATGGAGTCTGATCTATATTATTAAAAAATGTAAATATCAATGTTGAGTACTTTTATTGGCAGTATATTGTCAGGTTTAAATCATTAGCTAGGTTTTTCTGAAGCAAAAGGATCAGTGATAACCTTTTTTGTTTCTTCAATCACATCGATTAGGAGTTTTCTACCTAGTTACCTAGTTAACCCCATAACTACTGCATATAGCAGTATTTCATCTAAATCTTTTATTCCAGAGTGGTGCAGTATGCGCTGGTTCACCATTCAGGCGTTGGGGATCATCCTCCAGCTCCCTAAAGTCTCGTTCAACTCCAAGAGCCGCCAGTCGGTACAGAAGACCGACTTCCATTGCGGCATCGGACGATCATGACATGTATACAAAGGTATATAAATTTGGAAAAGTACATCCAAATATTTACCTTTTCAAATTTTAATTTTCGTGATGTATTTATTTGATCCTGACATCCCATCCCGACACATACATATGATAAAGCTCAATATTCTTGTGTTTGCTTAGGCTAATGTATCGTGCATGTTATTAATGTATTTTTATACTTTGTAAAGTGTGTATATATACATATTTATTTACCAGTACGTGAGAACCGAAATTTGTTTTCATTAAATTATTCTGTATGCATACATTTGGAAACATATATTTTTTCCCATATCTCAAAGTAGAAAAAGTGTTAGTACTTTCTCAATTTACTACAATTTTTTTTTTCGAAATTTCAAAAATGATAATACTTTTATCAAATGCTAGCAAGATAACGTACAGCAGACGATGGGTCACTAAAATTTTCCTCACCAAATTGTATGCAGTTTATTTGTGTCGTTACTGATGCAATTATTTATTTATTCGAACATCTCACATATGACGCAGCGAAGAGATAATATTTAAGTTATTTTGTTAAATGATTAATATTTGACGTTTGTCACAAGCATTTCCATAAAACATAGCGAAGCCCATCAACGTGTAACTCAGATAATTATGAGCGGACAAGAAAATTGATTTTTATAATGACGGTATAAGCAACTATCAAAAAAATTAAATAAAATGGTTTTTATGGTGATGTTAAGTAAATTTTTACGAATATTTTTAGGACCCAGATGGGGCTAGTGAAAGTGATGCCAGTGCCAACGGCGGAAATGGAGGTGTTGCATCCTGGTCGGTTTCATTTGAAAGACTCCTTGCTGATAATTCGGGAATACACGCGTTTGCGGTAAGTGGCAATTTATTTTCAATATTTTATAACCTTGATTGTAATATAGTTATATATTTTCTATGTAAATCAAATCTTTATCTAACATTACATCCTTGTTGAAATGAATCACACGCATTGTTCACACGCTATACAAGGACACTTCGAAATAAGGTTTTATAGTCACATTTTATTGATGGTATTTGCTAATACCTTAAATTTTCTGTCACCGCTATTTGGAATAACATATTGTTTACATTATGTTAAAATATTAGTTAAAGTTAAATTGTTTTAATGGATTCAGTTTGAGTTCCCTTGAACTAAGACGAATATCCAATATGAATAGTACATCATTCACAAAAGACTTCCAATTTTATAGTTAATTAATTGCATTCCTCGTCCATTGTAGTTGATTTGAATGCATTTTCACAATACGCAATATATTCATTATTACTCATAGATTGCTGGAGTTGTTCAAGCTGCATATCTTTTGCATTTCACTTTCTGCTTTATGAGCGCAAACAAAGACTCGCACTATATCCCTTTGATTGACTTACTTGCGTAATTATAAATTATAGATCTAGTGAAACTAAGAATACATTCTTGAATTAACATTCTCTAACATTAGTCAAATTGCAAAATAAAATAGTTAATTCAAAATTTGGCAATGTGGTTTCCAAACGAATGCAATTGAATTCCTGGTTTCGAAATTTCTATCACGCGCAGTAAACTTTGTGATCGGAAGAATAAAGAATAAAGCTTCTAATTACATAACATATGTTCTTTAGCACTTGATAAAGTGCTTATCAAATACTACATATATTTAGGAGTTTTAGTTAATTGTTGTTGGGAAAGTAACTATATTAATTATCTGTTAGCAAATTGAAACCACTGTTTTACGCCTCTTTTGATCCTTTAGGTAAATTTTATTCATCCACAGGAAGCAGGTTCAAATCGTACTCAGATTTTTTAAAATGGTTTTATCATTTATTTAATATTAGGTTGTCAAATATCTCCCTTCCGCCTTTTTGTATTATAAACCAAGAGCAAAAAAGCGGAAGGGAGATATTTGACAACCTAATATATAACCTTGAATAATACGAGCAAAAATGGAAAAACTTAAAAATTGAAATTCTGTATAACAATTATCAAATAATTCAAAATTGCAAGTATGATGTAAATGTGGTAAAAGCACTAGGTTAAATTGCGGTTTCATAATTCATAAATTATGTGATTAAAATATTTTATATTCCCGAAAATGTGGGCTTATAATTTCCGCACTATTTACCATAATTTCCTTGGGAATCACGGGTTTTGATGAGTAAACTGAAGTTGATTATCGCATTACCATAAAAATGAATAAAGCTACTAATCATTTTATGACTGCATAGTCAAATGTACACGTTATTACTCTGTCTATTTGCTAGACTTTACCACTAAGGCTGCAAGGACTCTCAGTATGGTCTTGTCAAATCTCAACCAAATTTACTTGTCACTAATTTTTGCGTGAGCATGGATTAGATTTTAAATAGTATGCAGTTCTTTAAAAAAAGTCTGCATTTCAAATGTAATATAGCCAAATTATTTATTCTTAATTACTTATAGTTGGCTTCGAAGATATTTTCGAACATTTTTTTTTAAAAAATAAGTACAGATAAATTAAGTACCTAATAAATAAACATATATAGATATATAATAGTTAGAATAATTTTTAATTACCTTTTCAGGAGTTCCTCAAGAAAGAATTCTCTCATGAGAACATCTACTTCTGGACAGCTTGTGAACGCTATCGTCGCCTTGAACGGCAGGCAGACCGCGAGCGGGAAGCTCGGGAAATATTCGATGCTCACCTGGCAGACGGAGCGCTTGAGCCGGTTAACGTCGATGCACAGGCTAGACAAAGCACCCAGGATGGTCTTGCTACTGCGGATAAAGATCTGTTTAGTCAGGTAAATAAAACTTTCTTATTTTTAGTAATAAAACACTAATAAACTAATGAAGTACGACTACCAAACCAGAATGTTTTATCCCTTTGGGGGGCGTTCATTAATCACATGAGATTTTTAGGGGGAGGGGGGTTTGACAAAAAATTACGAAATATCACGTGGGGGAAGGAGTGGTATGGTAAGATATCAAGTGTATCTATTTTTTAACTGATTTTTTAAAAAAATCAAACATTTTCAAAAAAAAAAATCAAAATTTTTATTTTTTTACGCAACTAAAAATACACGTGAGGGGGGGGGGGGGGGTAATTTTGAATATCATCTCGTATCACCAAGGGGGAGAGGGTCTAAAAATCCTTAAAAACTAGCTCACGTGATTAATGGACGCCCCCTTGCCATAAACTTCAGTTTTGTATTTAATTATACTGCCTAGTATTCAATAGACTAGAAGTAATCATACCATAAACGCGATTTAATACGGCATTATAGATTGAATTTTGCATAACTATTTTTTTTTCAATTGAATTTATTCAAATGCACATTGAAGATAAATTTTGGTAGCATATTCAAAGGATTTCTATGGTAGCATATTCAAAGGATTTCTATGGCATTTTGAAAAATCCTAATGAATTCGATTATTTTTGTAGAGAACTATTTGCAATGATTAATACGAGCATTTTTGTCAATAAAAAATATTTTAGGATATTTTTCTGAATTCTTTTTATATCGATTTTCAGCATTGATATCGTTCAAAAGCAAATCCGCGTATTGAACCGGCTATTTTAGAAATACTGACTAGTTTTCTTTGAAAATTTAAAGAGGTAGTTCGACTGATTGTTAATAAAAACGAATTCTTTTTAGGCTCAAAAGCAGATCTTCAATTTGATGAAATTCGACAGTTATCCTCGGTTTTTGCGTTCAGATCTGCACAGACAATGTGTGACCGCCGAGGCATCACACAAGAGGCTTCCATTTCCCATTGATAATAAGACTGATGAAAAATTAAGAATTAGCTCTGCGCAACAAACCCCATCAAAGGTAATGTAAACTTTACATTGTTTCTTATATGAATTAATTGTGAGCTAAAATTTATTGCCACGATCAATCTTTGTAATATTTCATTTTATTGCAGTTAAAGAAATCGCTTTCTAATGCCGAAGATCGTCGTCGTAAAAGTTTAATGCCATGGCATCGCAAAACGAGATGTAAATCCAAGGATCGCGGCGAGCAAGACTACAAAGGAGGTCAGGGTAGCGCGCTCGCCAAACAAAGCGCTTTGTCTGCGAGCAACGCGGAGGTGCATAGTTCGGTGGGATCATTAGCTAGCTGGGACGCTGCTCTTAATAAACAGGTAATAAATTTTATTTATTTATTTCTTTTAATTTCAATAATCAGGTTATAAGACGTAATCTAAAGTTAAAAGTGAGATATTGAAAACCAAGCAAAAAAGAGCTAAATCAATAAAAAGCTAAATAATAATAATAAAAAATAAATAAATTTTACTTAAAATTATAGTTGTCAATAAATTTGTCATTTTTAAAATAAAGATTCAGAAATCTAGCGAAAATTTTGATATATTTTATATAAAAGTAATTTTATCAATTTCCACATTGTTCTAACAAAATTAATTAATTAATTAATTTGAAAAGTAAAGAGTGTTTTATAAACGTCTCTTTTTGGCAAATTTTTCTATTGAAATGGTAATGTTTTTTACCATTCATTGAATAAGTTCTCACATTTTGGCATAGGAAATAGTAAAGTTGGAGGTACTATACATACATACATTATTATCATGTTTTATTTTTGCCAATAAAAGGAATAATATAGAGAAACATGTCGAAAACGTTATTTGACTACCAAAATTTTGATATAACCCACCTAAAAATAACTTTACCAATTTTCACTTGATTAATCAAGCAATATTATTATTAAAAACTTTGTATTTGAAAATTGAGGAAATTTAAATATGCGCTTCCTTTCAAAAATTTTTTTTTAGAAAGGTCTTTTTCTTATTTTTCTCTAATTTATCATACCATTCATTGAATAGGGCTCCACATTTAGATATTTAGGACTTTTACGAATTTAAAATAGTGAAATTATATGTTCAGTACAATTTTATAAATTTTTACTCTAAGGGGCACAACTAGTGTGAAATTTTCAAAAAATCGAATTTTCAATTTTTCATATTTCGATAGGTTATACATTTAAAAATAACATACCAAAATTTTAAATCGATATCTTAAATAGTTTTTGAGTCACAGCCATTTAAAGAGTATATATATAGTATATAGTATAACGATCATTTTATCTTTAAATGCGTTTTTCTCGAAACAGCATTTCCGAATTTGCTGCAGCGATTACTCAAAAACAAATGATCCGATCAATATCAATTTTTTTTACATGTTCTATATATAGTTCTCCGTAAAATGAACTATCGATTTTTTGATCGGATCAAAAATCGAATTTTGGCAGTACAAAAACGACCAAAATTTTGGGTAAAATTTGACTTTTAAAAAACGCCATTATTTTGTCAATTTTTGATTTGTTTCTTTATCGTAGTTCATTTTACAGACAATATTATCTAGTTTAACGAGAATTTTTTTTTTTAATTTCCGGAATCACTGCAGCAGTGAAGAGCCTTTTTTCTTGTCGCGCCGTTGGGGATCGACGATAACCTAAAAAATATTTAATTTTTTTCTTCAAAAATTTTACTATGTATTCTTAAAACATGTATAAATATATTCTTAAAATTTTGAAATGATTGATAAAGTAGTTTTTTTAATATAAATTCCCAAAAATCACCTTTTTTTTAGGCGGTTACACTAGTTGTGCCCCTTAACCAAGGATGGGCTTATAAAATACGTTGTAATCGAATACGTTATATTTAAAAGAATTTTTTATAACATTATATCATATAGATAGAAGAAAATATTTTTTCGCAAATACTAATCGGTTTACATATCATGCTAGTAAATTCATCTTTAATATTTGCATCTTATGCGATTACATTAATTAAACAGTTATAAAATAACCCTTAAGGCTTAGTTTTAATCTCATCTTATTTGCATAAAATATTTTCAATAATACCTTGCTTTATTTTAATTACAATATTAAGCAAATTTTATTAAATCTGCAGCTGGAGAGTCCTTTCGATGACACCCAGATACCAGATGCGATGCCTAAAAGATGTACTTTATGTCGCGTTGTTTTATCGGATGAATCGACTGCTTTACTTCAAACACAACCAAATGATTCTGTTAGACAACTCATTGATAGATTATTGGAAAAACGTGGCATACGATATAGAGCTTACGAAGTTCATATTTCTGGAACTAATAAGGTACATCCATTTGCACCATTTGCACCGTTGTAAAATAATTTGCAATAAACGATTTATTTTATTAAACAGCGCTTTTTTCTCACAAAAGCTTTAAAATCTATGCATGTCATTAAATTATATTTAAAATTATTTTTAATATTTATATATTTCTAAATAATTTTTTTTTTTTTATTTACAGCCAATAAATGTGATAGATTCATCGAGAATTTTAGCTGGCAAAGTTGTTGTTGTAGAACAAAGAGTAGTTTTCAAATTGGATTTACCGAATAAAAAAGTCATCTCTGTGAAGAGCAAGATAACGAAAACGTTAGGCGAAGTTTTAAGGCCAATTTTGCACAAATACAATTACAAACTCGATCTTGTTCAGGTAAATATATTATACTATATCCATTTGGAAAAAAATAACTTTTTTAAAATGCACGAATTGGTTAATTGGATTCTAGTTGGTAGCTTTGAATATGTAAATAAGATGTAAAATCATATAGCTTATTAATTAATTTTTATCTTGTATTTACAGGTGTTTTTAAAAGCTGAAGCAACTGAAAGTCTTGATATGTCAAAATCAGTGTTAGTGGCAGATGGCCAGAGACTTCTTGTCCAATGCAGACCGGAAGGTATTTATACAGCCATCAAATTACTAAAGAATTGATCATAATTTTTTAATTATGAATATATTTTTTTTTAAGGTTGGATCGGTGAAGTAACACAGATAAGTACAGCAGGCATTTTGGGAAGTTCTGCAGCAAGATTAAAGTTAGAAATGAGTATGAATACAAAACCCCAAGAAACGTTCGCTGAAGGTGCCTCTCTCAATGAAATTACCAATCGAGTTTTCGAAGAGTTACTTCAAGGCAAATCTGAAGCACAGAATCTCAAAGTCAAATCTTTAGACCAGCATTCAATAAAAGTAAAAATAATTTTATTACATTCATTTTTAATTTTATTTCACCAAATATCTTGTAACTTATCTGACTCGTTTTCTAACAGTCTGAAGATTGTGGATCGGAAACTTCATCTGGAATATTCAGTCGGTTTCTAAGAAGGGATTCTAATATGCCTTCGAAAATGGCTAATGGGCTTTCAAAGAAATATAATCAATTTACATCAAAAACTAACAAAGTGCCACTTCCAGAGGAACAAGCTACGGAATCTCGGAAACCTCTCATAGCCAAATGGAAACCAGGTGCTAAATTACAAGTTACTGGAAGACAATCAGAAAGTGATGGTAAATATAAAGCTTGTGTAATTTATTTTATAAAAATAATATATGATACTAATAATTTGTGAATTTTTAGAACTTCTAGAAGGACTAAACAGAGCACAGCGAGCGCGTCTAGAGGATCAAAGAGGAACTGAAATAAATTTCGAGCTGCCTGATTTCTTGAAAGATGGAGATAATTTGCAATCCTGCTCAAAACTACGAAAAATTTTAAACACAGATAACGACGGCGCCGAATCAAATGTAACGAGTGCCGATAATGCTGACACGTCTAAATGCAAAAATCCAAATGATGTTCCCACTCCCAGCATTAGATTATCTCCTGGACACAAGCCTAATCCTGCACCTAGGTTATCTATAGGTAGAGTTCAGAATCTGCCAAGTAAGCTTGAAGATAGACGAACAAGCGAATCACAAGTTCAAATCAAAATAAATGCTCTTGAAAAATGCTCAAGTGCAGGCCACATTTCTTCTAGTTCATTCATGTTAAATAACAATTTTCCAAGATCACCAGTAAAATCTGCTAACAATCCTGATAAAAGTTTTGTGTACGCAGATAATAAAAGCAAAAATCATTTTGAAGATCAAAAAATGATTAAAGATTATGTTAATCAGAATCAAATTAGTACTAATGAAGGATTTGCAAATGATATTTTAAATTGTAGTTTTCAAAGTAATTCTAGTAGTGATAGTGATAAATTAAAAAGTGCCTCCGATCCACCCCCTTTACCTCCAAAACCAAAAGTACTACCAATGAAGCCATCTAATTGGGGTCAAAATTTACAGACAATTTCATCTGAAGGTCAATTGAAAACTCCCCAAGAACGCTTGAGGAGTTCAAATACAGAAAATATATTGAAGCGAGCTATTTACTTAGATCAACATAATAGTAGTTTTGTTTGATGGAACTTATATTTAATGAATTATCATTGCAGACATATATTAAAATAATTTATTCTTTTGTTGTAAGATATTAATTATATTACAATTTAAAATTGACAACAGAAGCTATTTCAAATTACATGTATAGATATATTTTGAGATAATTGAAAACTGGTGTATGCGTTTCTGTTGATTTTTGATTGAATTCATTGAATGAATGTTGTAATGAATGAAGAAGTAATTATATTAAATTATAATCACATGCAGTATATGTATTTGAATAGAAATCATTATCTAGATATATTTTTTCATTAAAGTTCTTCACATATAAATTTTTTATGATGTTTACTAAAATTATAACTAGACCTGACTTATCGCTTTGAGATATGAATATTAGAATATATCATTATATATAAATGTTTTTTTATAAAAAAATAATGATTACATATATTTTTATATGTAGATTTTGCAACAATATTAAAATAAATCTGACAGTAATTTATATTGTAAAAAAAATATAGCTATACCTTGTTATATGACTTTCTTCATAATCTTCATGTAAATTATATTATTTATAATATAAAAATTATTACATATTTTTGTTTTAATTCAAACTTTATCCTTTCACTAAAAAACTGATAGAAATGCATTACACAACGAATATTAATTTTTATATTCTATTATTATCTAAGGTTTACATCATGAACACATGGTATTCTAATATTGTCTAGAGTTTACATGTTAACAAAATCAACATTGAAACGAATAAGCCGTTCCACTGTAGGGATATCATCTGATATTATCCTTGACAATATAATAATAATGGATAATATTTTATGATTTATATTGCAAGACATGGCAACACTACTGCACGTGAAAGGAATAATAATCTTTCAATTTCCTCAGGCGTGACAACATAACTGTTTTTGACGTTTGTTTTTATTTCTCATGTCATTCTACAATAAATTAATAATGTTATAATAAATTCTTAATAGATAATATGTAAAATTTAGTGAAATTTACTAATTTTAATATATAATTTTATTAAATCATAGTCCATGCTGACATAATTTTTAATTTGCTTTGATAATTTACAACATAAGGTTGAAAACAATGGAAAGTACTCAAGAAACTAAACTCTCACCTAGTTCATCACAGGCAAATAATGAAAGTGAAAATAAGTTCACCGTAACTAAAAGAAATCTACGTGATCATATAAATGTCAGAAGTAAATCAAACTTACATGAATCTAAATATAAAAGACATTCAGGGGGGGCGATCTTCCTAATAGAGCAAACCATAAAGAATTCTCTGCACCAAAGCCAAAACCAAACTAAAAATTTATTCAAATCAAATTCTCTATCTAGTTTAGTAAATGATAGATTTGTTAATACCAGCTCAAAAGCAAAAACTGTATCTCAAATAAATATAACCGAACCAGAATGTAATAATACAATGCTAAGAAGTAATAATGACAAATCTAATAACGAAACAGCCATTATAGATAATCCCACAAATTCAAATAATAAAGAAAATTCTGAGGAATATAAAGAAAAACCATCCCCAAGTTCTAGTACAAACAATTCTGGAATAGTTTTAGCAAACATAGAAGACTCATATAATGATATTAATGATAAGCGTAGACTTTCATCCCAGTCTAGTAGTTCTTGCAATACAACAGTTGTTTCAGAAGTGACTTTAGGAACTATTAATTTTTGCGATATTAGTAAAAGATTTAACAAAGAAGTGGATTTGACTTGTTTAAGAGTTCCAATTATTGGATATGAAGTTATGGAAGAAAGGGCTCGATTTACAGTAAGTAACTATGATTTTGTAAAAAGAGTAGACTACAATTTTAGTTTTGGTTCTAGTTTTTCTGCTTACTTCTAGGTTTATAAATTGCGACTGATGACTAATATACCAGGTGAAAGCTGGTTACTACTTCGTAGATATACTGACTTTGTGAGACTTCATTGTCGATTGAAGACTGATTATCCTGATATTTTGTTACATTTGCCTAAGAAGAAGTGGTTTGGAGACAATTTTCATCCAAAGTTTCTTCAAGATAGAGTTCAAGGTATAACTATTCAGTAATTAATGATGCATATAATGCACAATAAGAGTTATAAACTTAATGTATATTATATTCATTACAGGGTTGCAAGAATTTGTTAACAGCGTGCTTTCTCATCATATTCTACTTGAAAGCGCTCCTGTTAAAGATTTCTTTTGTCTGAATGATCCTCCTGTATTCTCAGAATGCTTAGAAGATAGTAGAGTATGTACTTAGAAATGAATTTGAATATAATATTAATCACATTAAATAAATACTTTGTATGAACTGGATTGATAGGCACTCTTTGAAGCCCAAGAAGAGACTATTATGAATCTTCGAGCAGAATTAGCTAAACGTGATGCAATGATAGCCGATTTGAAAAATCGCTTAAGCAGAGAATACTCAAAAAACGCACAGAAACATGTAATTCTGAAGTAAGTAAACTTATATTTATACATTTGTTCTTTTTACATTCAATCAAATAATTTGTTTGTATTTAATACAGAAATACCAAAGAAACCTGTGAAAAATGTAATAAAGAAATTAATAATACATTAAAACAATTTGAAGATGAAGTACAACAGTGCACAATGTATACTAGTACTCCTATAAAAAACTGATTCAGAATTCTATCTTGAAATAACTACAAATTCATATAAAAATATATGAAATAGCCTTAAAAATATAGTTTTATAGAAGAAATCTATAATAGTATATGTATTTTAAGTTGTTAATGATTTTCAATCATTGGGGCCTTATAGTATTCAAGAAATATATTTATTTGCAAATATATTTATTAAAAATTATATTATATTAGCCTAGTATTTAAATTTAAATAAAGGGGCATGTAGAATCTCTTTTAGTAAGTAACTTTCTAATCCTTCCTTATGTTATTTAATGTTACTAAATATAATTAACGCAAGTTAAAAACTACTGTGATTAAAAAGTCTAATCTAACTTTATAATAAATATCTGAATATATTTTATAACATTTTATATAGTAGATAATTCAATCGATAATTGTAAATAATAAGTTATTTTGACAAATGTTTCATGTTTCATAAAAACATTCATAGTATATTTGTGTAATAATTCATAACAGTGTTTTTGTATGTTTAATACATTTTATAGACTTTTATAACAACATTTAAATAAATTATTATAAAAATGTTAGGTCTTGAGTTTCAATGTATCATTTTTAGAACAAAACATGTACCAGGTAGATTTTAGCTCGGTAAGTTTAACCATATTAGCTTGTGATTGTAGTTAGCTTGGAGAAAAATTTAATTGATAATTATATAATTAAAATAATATTCTGATATATTTGGAGTACTATGGCTTAATTTAATAACTAAGCACATAATGGATTTTTAAAACAATGAAAGTCACCGAACAAATGGAAAATTTAAATCGCTATGAATATAAATATACACTACAACTACAATATACAATATATATATATATATATATATATATATATGTATATACAAACACACACCCCCACACACACACATATAAATATAATATATATATATATATATATATATATATATAATTAGACTTCAAATATTTATATATCGATAGAAATATCAATCCAATTGCAATTAATATTTTTCGTATAATTTTAAATCTTTTTATGGTGTGTCTTGAAAACAAAAAATTCCCGTACAATAATAAAAAACTAACTGAACATCCCACCATTTAGAGAGATCTGGGGTATAAATAATTATAATACAATTATACACAAGCATTTCTATCATATTTTGAAATTTTATTATGAACGAATTCTATCTGCTTATTTAATATACAAGCTGATATATATTTCAGTAATACATATACAAATATATATAGGTTTAAAAAAATCTAAAGGAAGTTTTTTCTCGAAGCAAATATTCAATACTGTCAAAAACATGAAAAAATATTATTTAATAAAATAAAATATTTTAAATTTCTTAAAAGTATTTAATAACGCGGTGATAATAATATAATATATACTGTAGATATATTTTTTAAATATAATATTTGTATATATAAATAGGTGCTAGTAGCATCCAATTAGATTCCAAGTTGGAAATTAGATCTTATGGGAGCAGATTAGTATGTAGGATTCCAATCAGATTCAATATTAAAAATAAAGTTTATAAATTAATGATTTTATTACCAAAACCTTAAGATCAAAGTATTAGTTCCCACATTATATAATGTTTCTATATGTATTTTCTACAAATCATTTATTAATTTGATGTTGATTGATAAAAATAAATAAATTAAAGCTCTTATTGAACGGTTAACTAATTAAGCCTTATTTTACATACTCCCTTTTTTGAGTTCAACTAGATACTGATAGATTATAAACTATTTTATATTTTGAGTATAGCAATCGGATTAATTAAAATGAAATTAAGCAGTTAGAAAATATTAATAACTTCCCGTAGGGTAATTCATAGTAATCGCAAAAAATCGAAAATGTAAATTTTTATATATATTTACGTTTCAGAGGTTTCTGAACATTTTGGCATACCTTAGAAAAAATGGATGTATTACACAGTGTGTGTGTGTGAGGATACAAATTTTCGTTGACAATTTCGGGAACACGGTTCAACCGATTTCAGTTATTCAAAAAACATTCGATTGCTGTTGATAAGGATACGTGCTGATTAGTTTTTGGCATAAGCCGTTTCGAAGATACGGGGCAAAAAGTACCAAAAACGGTAACTCAGTGTTTAAAAGAACGGAGAATTTTAAAACAAATTTAATCTTTTTTAAAAAATTTAATTTTTGGTACGAGAAGTTCAAGCAATTTGCCTTAAGGCACGATGCCATACTCTACTAGTTTCATTCAGTAATCCCATATTCTCAAAGTAACATGACGAAAACGAAGTTATAGTGTCATCATTGATTACTCACAAATCGTTGGCTACTATTCTGGTTCACGTGCGAGTCCAGCGTGTTCCACTGTGCGATATTATATTTTCACATCAGTAATATAAAGATCGTTGTGTTGGCAAGTCATTTCCTCGTTTCATAAAATCCATTCATCCATAATAAATTTATTAAAATATTATCTTCAACTTTATGACAACTTTAACATTAATTAAATTTAATATCAATTTAGTTTTTGTTAGAATGAAAATTCCTAATTGGTGTTTTCCATTAACTTATTACCGATAAGACTAGTGCACGTGTGAATCGTAGTAAGTCGTAATATTTGTGCTTGTTTTTGTGAAGGTGTTTTCAGTTTAGAACAAATATTGTCGTCTGAAATCAAGGAGATAATTAAAAGTAAGTATGTATAGAAAAATATAAAAATAAATAACAAAAAAATGCGCAAAATATTTACATTCATTATGGAGTTTGAATTTTGTGATCTACAGTATATAGTCTTTTTCAAAAAAATATTTATTTTCATTTTTTTCATAAATATATTCATGGATTTTACTACATTTAGGGGATGTGATTTTCTAGGAACCTTTAAAAACAAACTTTTTTTATTCTTTTACACAATTTAAAATCAATTGTAAATTTAAAGAATTCACTCTTTACCTTTAAATTGTTTGAACTAGTTTTTTTTTAGTAAACACTGAAAATTAAATTTCTATTTCTGACTTTCTTTGCTTTTGCAAAAAGGTTTAAAATTCGAAATTTTCCTAACAGATTTTTTGTTTTTTCCTTAAGTTTGTCAACTGTAATATTTTGTTCAAGAAGAAAAGGTCTTTAGTTAAGAAAAATATGTCAACGGTGATGAAAATGTATATTTAATAATTAAAATGACCTTAAATATTCACATATAATTCATTCTCACTTCAGCAAGTTAAATATTTTATTAATATTCTTTATTTTTATGTGTTCAATGCCATAATTAGAATATTATAATATACAATTAATTTTTATTTATTTTATTCTTATTGATTTATTTTTATTTGTTAATTTTATTGTTTATAATTTGTAATTTTGCATAAATAATCACAGTATATTTCATTAAAAGAAACTAATAGTCATATAATTTTTAATATACTTATATTTTTCAATTTAGGTAGAAATTTCTCTTGCTTAAGCAATTAAAATTTTGATAATTTTAATTAATAAATTTTGATTTAGTTAACTGAATATATAATATTTCTACAACCTTTTCTCTGCTATAAGAATAATTATGTATAAAAATAAGAATATATGAAAAATTACATACATATAATAATAATAGTATATATATATAATATATATATATATATTACATCTATTATTATTTTAATATGCATGACTGAAAAATATGCACATGAATTAAATATCTATTCTAATGGTTCATTATTACTTATTTATTAAAGCATCATCTGAAATTTTTCTAATTTTCTAAATTGTCACGTTTTCCATTGAATAAAAAAATAAATTTTTAAACAAATAATGTTTCGTAACAGTTTGGATTATTGATAATCGCGTTTACCCATTATACAAATACATCATATCGTCACGGATTATTTACAATTGATTCGTGCCATCAGAGATGAATAACATTTAATTATTATAATTTATAATAATACAGATAATAAAACAAATCTATTATTATTAGAAATACTACTTGTGTATATCGTGTTTAATTTACTCAGAAACTTTTATGACACATTGCATTTCTATTGCAAATCATAAATAAATTATCAGCATTCGTAGTTGGTGAACAACTGCAATGTTTTAGTCATGGCTTACGTATTAAAATTTTAATTTTTTATAAATAAAATATTTGCATTTTAATAGATTTAGATTCATATATGTTTCGTAAATTCAACATAAACATTGGCAAGCTCTGTCTTTTGTAGATAAACCTTGAACTTAGAACGATTGCACATTTGTATATGATGTCCAGCTGCAATTCAGCAAATTGCCTTCGATAATTTATAATAATCGTTTCTCTTTGGATTAACATTATATTTAGTATTTATTAACATAATTTTCAATTTGTGACAAATATATGTTTTGTTCGTACATCTAAATAAAATCGACTGAACATATGATAAAATCCAAAATGCTTGAAGAAACCTGAATTTTTAATAGATCGTTTCAAATATGTTTCACATACAATTATCTGCTATAATTATGCGAACTTTGTAGCATGACTAACTATATATCAGTCATCTTATTTATGTTAAATAATTTGTAATTAATCTGCAAATAAATCTTATCAAGTGGAAAGTTTTCATGGAAAGGGTTTCATTTGATAATTATCTTAAACAGGATAGTCGAACAATATCTGTCCTAATATTTATTTTGGCATTGATAATGACACTAATATCAAGTAAATGACTAAACAAATGATTAGTCACTATTGTAATCTGAATTTAACCAAATATTTCGTATATATTCTGAGAAAATTCTTTTTTGCTTGTAAACAAAATACGCATTTTGTATCAAAAGCCAGAATTGGAAAATTATAAAAATAACTAATTTGTAGGCGTTCACGACTCTTACTACACAGATGGGATAAATCTGATCTTGATTCAAAATCAAAAAGACAAATTTTATTTAAAGATACTAAATACTTACCTTTAAAATAACCATATTATTCTTCAAGATAATTAGATCTTTCATTATTGTTTTTACAATTAGAAAAAATTTTTATTGGTTGAGTTTTGTTATATTTTATATAGCTTATTTCAGTAAATAACTATTTGTTTTTTTAATTAAATTATAAGCTGTCTTAATAAAAAATAGTTATTTTGATGCTATATGTAAATTATCGAATTAAAGTTCTGCAAAAT